AGATTCTTATCTCTGTCTTGAAGGTGAGATTGGCTCACTGAAGAGTCATATTTTCGCAGGCATTTTGTATAATATGTCTCTTGGACGATTCTGCAATGCTTGTGATTTGATTACTTGCTTTAATGCTTTTCCTTTTATTTTGGTTCTTGCTGGTTGGGTTCACATTTTACCCCTCAAGTCTGATGCAACCACTTTAGTAGTGTGATTTGATTACTCGGGTTATATGGCAGGCTCTTTTACATGCTTCTGTTGCCTGCCGAAGGAAACTTATTGTAGACTGCGTTCCTGCAAGCGACCTGGTGGATATTACTTGGAAAGAGGTGAAGCATAGTTAGATTGTATACAATCAATAGACAATAGTCCTTAACTACTAAGTTTTCCTAGCAGTCTCCTGAGGCGTATAAAGATGCATGGGTTTCGTTGAAGGTACATTTAGTTTTGTAGTTTACTAGCCTTTTGGCCCAATAGGCAGTTTTGATTGCCTCATTTGCTGATAATTTCTAGTTCCATGATTGCAACTGATTGAACGACTGAACTGTTTTTCGTGCACAGGGTGCTGATGGAGTGCTGTTTCGGGGAGGGTTTGTTTTGTTGATAGTGGGGTGCAAGGGAAGATCCTCGCAGCAAAGCATGCAAGAAAAAATAATGTCCCTTTGTTGGGCATTTGCTTGCGAATGTAAATTGCTGTCATAAGGTTTGCAAGATCTGTGTTGGGTTCGCATGACGCAAACAGCACAAAATTTGATCCTCAGACAGAGAATCCTTATGTCATATTTATGCCAGAGGCGTGCAGTACTTCTACAATATTTTACTAAAGATGATGATTATGCTTATCATTTGTTTCGCGGAAAATGATATGGAAAACATTTTTCTAAAAATAATCGCTTATATCGCTTTTAAAAATATATGAACGAAAAATACTTTCATTATCCATGAAAATGTTTTAACATAATTTGTTATCGATAACGAATATATTTCTAATCGACTAACTATTTCAAGCAATTAAAAAGATTCTTTTGAGGAAAATATTTTTCACATCACTCATTTTTTGCGAAATAAATGGAATTCTTAATTTACTTTTCATCCATTCATGGGCTAGATTTATCAGGTTCCAAAGACTCACATGGGAGGGACGATGCGCTTAGGATCAAGAATGACTTATTTAGGAACATCGATTTTGTTGGAGTGTAGTTTATACTCTCTCTTGACAGTAAGGCACAGACGTCCAACTCTCTAGTGAGCGGGCGAAATCATCAGGATGTAAAATTATTTTTAGATGACATTCCCTCTCACCAAGGAAGAGAAAAATATAGTGAGAATTGGCGATACAAGACGTGTGAGTACCGGCACGTTACAATAAGAAATTCATCCGTGGAGCTCGCTTCACAAATGGGACAGGCCTAAATTGTTCCTTTGGATGGATGAGGAATAAAAAATGGATTGGGTGTACCCGATCTGCAACAGTTGTCATGATGGGCCAATTTGCTGGTGCAACTAATTCTGTGCTCATAATACCTAAATCTATTTCCTACAATGAAACGACGGGCGACTGTGTTAGGTGAGGGAGTATCTTGCACAAATCTTCGATGGTTGAGTTGTCTGTTTTCACAATTGTATTGTTTAAAGTGTCTTTGAGTGCCGTTGCTCACTACAGTGAAGAAATATCGTTTGGTTGAAGATATAATGTTTCTTTCCTTCTTTTGACGGCTTGCTATTAGTTTTAATTTATGAATCAACTTTTTTTTTATCGAACAATTATGAATCAACTTATGCAGTATAATTGCTTATTGCTTTTTGCCATTATGATCATGAGAAAAAAAGTCGTAAAATCTAAATGAAATCATTCTGTTTGATTGCTGCTTGAAGTATGACTAAGAAAGGGTATCTTGGGCCTCCTTGTCTGTGTTCATCTGACTATCTTCTACTAAAAGTTATTTAAAGATTTGTGCTTTGCATATCCAAGAATCTTCACTCGATCTCTAAGGCTATTAAAATGTAGGGATATTCTCCAACGCAAGTACGTGGAAGCAGAATGCGCTGGCTTGATTCATTGCTACGGTGTGTTTTATGGTTTGTTGAACTAGTTCAGTGTTTTACGGGCTCCAATTGTCTACGGTGGAGATCATTTTATGCAACTGAGGACAATGCACGTAAGGCCAACTATAGTAGAAACTATTTGGTGATTGCAAAGTCCCGCATCAATCGTTGATGTAGCATGCGTTTTTTCCTCATGTTCAATGATCAGTTGACATGTGTTGGCTGAGGTAGAATAAAAAAATAAAAGTCTGATTTTTTCTACTCCTCTCCGACCACCATCTCAACCCTTTGCGGCGTCACTTGCTATCAGCCCAAAGCTACACCACCATCTGGCCACGCCCATGGTCGCAAGCTTTGCTCATCCATCCACCAACGGCAACGACATTGCAATGAGCCGCGAGTAGAGTTTGTCCATCCACTGACGGCAATGACCAATGACTGCAAGTAACAAAGTCCAGATCTGGTCGTCATGGCTGTAGATCCGCTCACAACTGCAAGCAACAAAAGCGAGCGATGAAGTCCAGATCTAGTCTCCACAATAACAATTGCAAGCAACAAAGTCCAGACGGCTCGCAGTCGTTGCCGGTGGACTGGAGTCATCCCTCCAAATCTGTTCTCGTCCATGGCCGCAAGCCTAGCTCGTCTATGGCTCGCGAAGCGACTCGTCCACAAATCTGGCGACCGTAGCTTGTCCATGGCCGTGAGCCTTGACGGCGAGCTCAAGATCTCCACAACCATGGACTGCGAGCTCAAAAAACAAAAGAAAAAACAGAGGAATAGATGGCAAGGAAGACGCCGAAGCTTGTATAAGGCCACGGACGAGCAGTGTCAGGGACGGGTAGATATTGAGATATGGAGAGCGATCAGGCGGAGAAAAAGCAGACGAAGATGGTCATGGCTCGGCTTAGATGCAGCAGTGGTCGAACTAGACAACTTCATGACGCCGCCGACAGCCATGTACGAGCGATGCCGACAATCTCGGCCAAGGATGGTCAGATCTCAAGATTTCAAGAACAAAGGAAGCCGGCCATGCTCGACTTGGACATAACAGTGGTTGGCCTAATCACGGCACTAGCGACTTCGCAGGTGGCGACGGCAGGGAGGAGTGGAGGTCGGGCGGCTGTGGACGAAGGAGGAGGAAGAGAGAGAGTTCAAAGGTTGAGAGAGAAGATTTTTTACTCATATTCCAAATTAACTTTTGACGTGGATCGGTGGGCACGTATTAACATGTTAGTGGATGAGTGAAAAAATACACTCCACATGGGATGCTGACGTGGTGATATCAAATTACCGAATATTTTCTCCCGCTATGGGGAGGTAATTGATCATGACATGCATGATGCTCTGTGCTGTCTTGGACGTGTAAAATGCTTATTATGACCACTGTAATAGAGCAGTCTAGTTTCATTATGACCAGAAACAAAGTTGAGCTACTACTATTCTTGTTAAAGTTGGAGTCTTCCAATACGATAGTAAGTTTAATTAATATATATTTAGCGACTGGGAAGTGGAGTTTTTTTTTAAAAAGAATTTCCCGAATATGTATTTGTAATGAGTTAAAAAGTTATTTCCCGTCCTTGAAAAAATAAATTACAACTATGCTGTTTCACTCATGCAAACATATTGCAATTTGCTAAGGATAAATCTAACAAATTGGTAACTAAGGAAAGAGGACCACACAGTTCTTTGGGTTATTTCTATGTCTACCGCAGCATTGACTGATCAAGTTATGTCACCCTTTGATAAGGAAGAAGCACAAACTCAAGACTTATTTGTCAATGCCAACTCTATTATACTTAGTGAGACAAATCACATTCTAAGGATGTGTTCCAATTTACGAATTAAAATGCTTGAAAAAGGAACTTGGATAGCTGCAATTCTCTCTCCGGTATTAAACGCTCTTTGCTTCTAAGCCAAGGTCAGCTTTTTCTCAAAACCACCAGCTAAAGTCCACATGGAGGCTCATTGCCATGCGTATGATGTTAAGGGATGGGGCAATGGGCACGGGTCAGGCTGCGACCGCAACCGCCGTCCTCGCCTTGTGGAGAAAATCATGCCGCATCACCCTCCCCATCTCTGCGGGCATTGCTTCTTCGCAAGCACGAAGTTGGAGTTTCTCCGCAACTCAAAGGTGGAGAGGGGGGGGGGGGGGGGGGGGGGGCAAGCACATGCAGATTGGCTTAATTCCAGGCGTTCCTGTAGAAGCGTGGGTGAGGGAGCTATTTCTCTGAACCCAACGCAGTAGATTGTGGAGACAGAGAATCTGGAGAGGAGTTACAGTTGCGGCTATGAGCGGAGTTGGGCCCCAGCTTGCCCACGGATTTTACTTTCTATGTCCCGCGGCACACAGGGTAGGTTGGCCTGGGATCGGCAGGGCACGGGAAACCGGCACCCCGTGCCCATAACAGTTCAAATTTTTATTATGATTGTTACCTAGTGTAAAGTGATTTCACAGATAATCGGTATTGTTATTATAATACTATGAGAATATAATAATATAATCGTTTAATAAAGTACTTTATAAGAAAGAGTTGCCTTGCTAATTTGCAAAGTAAAAAAACTCATTAGCTCTAATGTATTTAAGTAAGGGTAAGCACTTAATTAGGAGAAAATGAAATCCTAATTGGAAGCAAGACGAGGGGAGAACGTAAAGCAAATTTCACCTTGAAAGGAGAAAGGTCTCACACTTGCATCTTAGAAGTCCAAGTGGCATTCCTTTTTTTTTCTTGGTTAAGAATACTAATGGGCAAATACTCTGTGTCTGTGATAATATATATTGATAAATAGTCTGAAGCAGGCTGACTTTAGGTTAAAAAGGGTGAGTGGACGCACGCACAGCATCGCCATCGCCATCGCCATTGCCGTCGCCATCATCATTTCATTTGTCCCAATCCATATCCATTCCCCCACCCCACCTTTATACAGCCTCTCTCTTCCCAGCCCATCGCCGGTCACCGTGACCTCCGCCGCCGCCGCCGCCGCCGCCGCCGACGCCTTCTGCTTCTTCTCAACGCAAAGTCCAGTGAGTCCTCCTCCTCCTCCTCCTCCTCCTCATCTTCCCTCCTGCTTCTTTTCACTGCCCAGCTTGCTGTAGACAAATTTTCCGCACACGAAGTCCCTACTCTTACTCCACAGGATCTGCAGTTTTGACGATGATACAGAAATCGGATGATGTTTTAGTATCCGAGCGAAACAGCTGTTAGCATCATCTAGCAGAAACGGTAGCAGCAAGCAACGAGTAGAGTGTGGTAAAATCGAAGCTATTGTGAAATGATGTTGTTATCGCAACACGACAGAGCTGATGAGGGGATTTTGCTTTGCGCAAGTAAAACGCCTCTAGTGAATCGACTTTCAATCTTCTGCTTCTCAGAGAAATGTTTAGTTTTGCGTACTCGGAGAGACCGAGAAACGATCGTCTCTTCTATTCGTTAAGCTAACTCGCTGAAATAGTGAAGGTACCAAATCAGCATTTCTTACTTCACCTCCATCCTAAGTTTTTATGCCTTTTGGTCTTCTATGTTTTGCCGGTGACAATGATTATCTGATGTAGGACAATCTGGAGATAATGTTTCTGTCCGAAAATTTTTTAGGCGTCTCACCCAAAGCTTCCTAAGCATCACACTTGGGTTCTTAAGCATCTCTTCTAAGAGAATCGCATCATGCACCTCAATAACAAAGAATTGCTGAAATGTTTATTTACCCAGTCAATCAATGAATCAACAAATAATACATAGGAAGTGCATGATAACTTAAAAGATTCTACTAAACCTACTCTAAGTCGTAAGAGGAAACTCTTACATAGGGAACTTAAAAGCCTAATTCAACCGCAACCCGACATGGTACTCAATGTTAAATTGTCAAAGAAAACTAATAAAATCCTACCAGTACTCCTACTCCTGGTAGATGAAGCTACTTATCAAGCTTGAAGACGAATCATTATCCTTTTAGGACTCTTATTTGAGTTGCAGATTAATGCAAAGATTTACTTCGCAAGAACTTGACACCAATGAAAATATTATGACAAATACTGACTTGTTTACTCTTGTGGGCTGCATCATTATCCTTTGGGGACGGAGACTCTGGTTGGACGGCGCATGGGCTTAGGGTTGATCAGAATATAGGAGAACATGACATTTGGTTGAAGCAGGAATGTCTTGATTGGAATTGATCAATACAGATTTTCAGATCCTTGCTTGTTATTGTGGAGTGAAAGCAAATTGTTAGGTTAGTTCTAGACTGAAAAGGCCGGAGATTTTTCGGCAGGTCAGAGTGCAGATCCATGATTTTAATTGATAGCAATAATTTTCCACAGCAGTTTAAGTTTTGACATTGTGGATCATCTACTTTTACCAAGGCTAAGCTCATTCTTTTAAGGAAAAACATTTCTAGTACTGCACATTATTCTCTCATTGGTACTAGCAGCACACTTTGTTTTTGCCGTCTAAACTTACAAAGAAATAGTTTTAACTGCAGAAATGCAAGGAATTCAATCGCTTTCACTGAAAGCAAGCTTGATCAAAAGTGCAGTTCTGAAACACATCCGTCTGGCAAATCCTCAGATTGTTTCATTTTCACGCTTCATGTCTGTTTCGTCTGCACGAATCGAAGAGCATGGCTTTGAAAGCACAACGATTGCTGATGTACTGAAGGCCAAAGGTAAAAGTGCTGATGGCTCCTGGCTTTGGTGCACTACAGATGAGACTGTGTATGATGCTGTCAAGTCGGTATGTATTCCCCGGTAAATTGTGCCATTAGTATTGGTAAGACCGGTATTATTGTTTAATAAATATCTACATGTGGACCACATCTGTTACTGTCCCTATAGATGACACAACATAATGTCGGGGCCTTGGTTGTTGTGAAGCCCGGAGAACAGAAATCAATTGCAGGAATCATTACAGAGAGAGGTAAAAAATTTCAATTATTCCATTTGTAATAACCTATATGACGTGAATGTTAGTCATTGAACCATTCTTGGTCATAGGAAGTTCTACTCTTTTGGCTTATATAAGAATTTAAAATTCTAAGTATTATAAACATCAAAACAAGAATCTGAAAATTTCTGAATAGTGGGATGCATAGTCATTGAAACAATGACTAAGCAGTTTAGGTCAAAGTGATGCAAATGGGAGTTTCAAAGTTCCGAACTATTTCAGGTTAGAAAAGTGTCTTTGATTCATTCTAATGAAACATAGTTTATAAAGATCAGTGTAATTTAAGAAGCATGTTTTTCGGAAAACAACTGATCAAAATACTCTGGCATTGTTATTACCCTGTTTTTTACTAATGTAGCATGAGAAAAGCATGAAATTGCCTCTTTGATGCTATACGTCATTGAAATAAATCATGGGTTAAAAAGGGGCAAGCACAAGGGAAATTTTTTATCTTTTACGAGTCAGTTCTAACTTATAGTTTCATTCATCTGCATTCACTTAAGGTTCTTGACTGATTGGCTTTTCGCTTTTAAGCATCATAATTTCATGAAAGAATGAGAGGACTATGCAATTGTGTGGAAGTATGTGTGGTATGTATAGATTGATCGTATCCTGATTCAAAGTACACATATTGTAGGGGAAACCCTCATCTTGGCGAGTCATAGGCATCATCAGTAGATGAATTTTAATTGTTTTTCTGCAATCTCATAACAATTTATTCCGCTAAAAAGACTGTAGGGGAAACTCTTATCTTGCTGGTCATGTGTTGACTGTCCTAATGAAGTGGCTGAGATATTTTACTTTTGCCAATAGGAGAGTGATTGATTAGGATATGCCATTGACATTCGTGCGTGATGATACACTCTGAAGTTATTCCATTTAGTAGAATTGCGATTTAAACGAAATAGCTAGGTGTGATTCCCCCATTGAAGACTTGCAGGGGATTTTGCTGAGAAAACTTTTAAAATGAGCAACTCCTTGCTATGATGTTTCATGTGTTCTTATCTGTATTGTGCATCGGTAGTAAAGCATGGCACCCTTATATTTCAATCAATTCAGGAGTCCATACCTGTACAGCATTTTTTGTTCATTACTTGGTCTGTTTCCAGATTATCTCAGGAAGATCATCGTACAGGGAAGATCATCAAAATCAACCAAGGTTGGAGACATCATGACTGAGGAGGTAATTACAGCATCTCTCTTGTAGGAGCTCATGCTGCAGGTTGAGATTGCTACTGCTGAATGCAAAGCTACAATCTGCTTTTTTTATTTATCTTGCAGAACAAGCTGATCACGGTTACACCTGACACAAAGGTTCTGAAGGCAATGCAGCTGATGACTGGTATTGTTGATTTTGGTAGTAACGTGCATATGTTTGTCGCTATCGCTGATGTGGTTATTAATGGCACCATTTCATGCGCTGCATCCTTCATCAAATATGATGGTGGAAGAACCCTAGATTTATTTCATTGCCTACAGTTTTGTCATTGCTCTTCCAATGCTTAATTGTCAGAAATTTTAATTGACCTAGTTGAGTTATTGATTACTCTTAAATACTAAGTTGAGACGGATGATGGTTGACAGATAACCGCATCAGGCACATTCCAGTGATCAACGAAGGTGGGATGATGGGCATGGTTTCCATTGGAGATGTGGTTCGTGCTGTTGTCAGTGAGCATCGTGAGGAGTTGGACCGCTTGAATGCTTACATACAGGGCGGTTATTAGGTGATGATGGAATATCAGATATCACGGCCCTGTTTGGATTTAATTTTCCAACGACTGCCCTGCTTGAATCATGAAGGAGTGCTTGTAAATATGGCTTGTTGTATGCGTCTAAGCAGACGCAGGCTCATAATAACTATGTAATAAGAAAAAGACAACTGCAGAATAATTTCTTCCAATTTCATCTCTTGGAATGGCATGCCGATATGATATCGCAGGTAGTTTATACAAATGACCTTGCTGAGAAATTCCCATGTGGTTACGTCTCTTGCTGGGAAGAGTGAGCTTTGGTTATGCTTATGCGGTCATTATTATGTGCTGGTTACAATCGATAATGGCCTGTAATCGCTCTTCCTTGTGTATGTATATAGTGAAGTGCACGCAGGAAGTTGCAGGACGCGCTTTCACTTGATGGTAGGTTGTTTATATGATAGACACGGATCATGTCATACTCAGTTTAAACATACACGAGATGATACAGTAATCCTACACCCAAACACGTCGCGATTGTGACTTGACTGTGTCCATCGAGCCGAAGGCAGATGTGTATGGTTGAAGCAAGTTTAGAGAGGATGTTTAGCAAATGACTAGGTGACTGTGCCTTGGTCAGAATGTCGATTGTATCTGATCTGCAAAACAGTTGAGCTTTAAACGAATGGCACCTGATAGTTAAGGGTTAATGCCATGAAAAATTTTAAATTGGTACACATGTGATAATTTTACCTCAAATTATTTTTTTAATTACAAAAAACCCCAAATTGAAATACACCTGTGACAAATTTACCCTAAACTAATATTTTGACCATCAAAAATCTCAAATTGATATATTTGTGATAAATTTACTCTCTGTTAGTTTTCGTTAAATTGAATTAATACCACAAAAAATCATAAACTCGTACACCTATGATAAATGGAGGGTAAAACATAAAACTGGTACATCAGTTAACTGTCGTGTGTCATTTAACAAAGAAATTTGACAGTAAAATTTAACGAAAATAAATTGAGGGTAAATTTGTCATAAGTGTACAAGTTTGTGATTTTTTGTGGTCAAAAAATTAGTTTGGCGTAAAATTGTCACAGGCGTACCAGTTTGGGATTTTTCGTAATATTAACCCAATAGTTAACCAATCACTTCACTACAGTTAGCAAGTGAATGTCAACAGAAATGTGACTTCGCTAGGTCTAGCTAAATCATGCCGAGGAGCGTTTAATGTCGATCTAATTTCACCTATTCAAGGTTGAGATCTTGTGTGACTAAGTTATATGGTTTCGTTTTTACTTTTTTTGTGAAGAAGAGTAAGACCGCGACAATTTTGTTTTTGCTTTTCCTTTTCGCCAGTGGTTAATTCATATAACTACGCTCTCTCGGGTTCCACGTGTGCTGAATCTTTTCTTTTTGCTATGATTCGGTCACAGGAATGATGTTGTCAGGCTACTTGCAATATTTTCAACAGCTTTGTTGATTTTGATGTAGCTAGCAAGGATCACCTAGAGGGGGGTGAATAGGTGATCTAAAACAATTTTTAGTAATTTATGCGGAAACAAAATAAATCACAGAAGAGTCTGAATAAAATTCAGATTCAAGACAGATTATATAGACTGTGCTCTTGATGTGCAGAAAGTAAAGTAAGAGATAAGGGAAAGAGAATCTGCACACAAGTTTATAGTGGTTCGACTTATAGCAAGCCTACGTCCACTCTCCCACGCTTACAGCCTATTGGCTGGATTTCACTATGTAATCAAGAGGAATTACAACTTCTGAGTGTTAACACTCTTGTGTATGATAGGACTCTCTATCTCACACAATCACTCTTACAAGTGTGTCCCTCAAGATCTTAATGTTTGGCTTAGAATGACAAGAGAAAATAATTGGATTAAGCTCAGACTTTGGACTTGTTGATTCTTGATTCTGTTTCTTCTTCTGCTGCTCATTGATCTCCTTAAATACTCCTCCACTTCCAAACTAGCCGTTGGACAGCATTCAGAGGATCATCTTCCAATCTTCACCTTGGACAGATTTGTATACTAAGGATTGAGTAGCCGTTGGATAATGATTCGAATCCCCGATTCCGGTCGCCCATACAATCGAATCTTGGTTTCCATAAGTAGAACTTTGTCCGTTGTAATGCATTCTTGTCATGATGTTTGATTGTCAATCAGTTTGATTCAGATTGAGACAATCAGAACATTCCTTCTGTGAAATCCATGCCAGATCACTAGCTGTTGTGTTACGTTCTGAATTCTGCGTCTGAAGAAATTCTGCGTCTGCATCAGAACAACTTCTGCGTCTGCGTCTAAAGAATTTCTGCGTCTGAATAATTTCTTCGTCTGCATCTGCATCTGAATAAATTCTGCTTCTGCATCTGAATAACTTCTGCTTCTGAATCTCAGAACTTAGATTATGTGGGTCTTCAAAAACATGTTTGATAGATTGTAAAGTCTGAATAACTTTCTTCTGAACTTCCAGAATATACAGACCTGGAATAAAATTGTTCAGAATGAGTATTAGATTTACAATAACACAGAAGGTTTTGTCAACCTCAAAATCAATAGGAGTTTTCCTCAACAATCTCCCCCTTTTTTATGGTGACAAAACTTTCTTTACAGATTGAATTATTTTGAAAATAAACATATTAAGCTCAATAAACACAGATTGAAATAGCAAACTCTGTTGATATCTGTGTCTTTCTTCCTTTGAGAATAACCTGTAAATCTGCAATATGATTTCTCCCCCTTTTTGTCATCAACAAAAAGAATAGTAATAGATAGGATAATGCACTGATATTAAGAAATCAACCAGTCTAACAATAAGTATGAGAAATATTACAGACCAATTGAAAAAAAAATAGAGAGAAATGTTGAAAAACAGGCTATTTTTTAGGAGTACGAATCAGTTGAAAATTTTCCAATATTGAGACAGCCTCCTCAATCTTCGAACTGCATTGACCTATGGCCTTATCCATGCTGGATGAGCACATAGCAATGGCTTCCTCTAATTCTGCTTTATCTGCTGCTGCTTGAAGTTGTTGAGCCTTGGTGTTTTCCTCAATAATTTTCTGTAGGTTCTGCAAATTTTGTTCTAGAGCAGCCTGCTTGTCCTTTATCTCGAGCAGAATAGAAAGGATATTCTGATTTTCAGATGGCTGACCTTGGTCATTAGCTTCCTCAGACTGATTGTACCCTGCGGCTGATTCTGGTAGAATCTCCCCCTGAACAGGTGATTGAACTTCAGAAACATGCTCTTCATGAATTGGTTCTGACACATTGGGAACTGGTTCAGGAACATGTTCTGGTTCTGCAGTGTGACCTGATTCAAAGTGTTCTGCTTCTGCTTCATCATTTTCATCATACAGAAGAGTTTTTCTTTTCTTTCTGTACACTTTGATTGGGGTTGGAGAATCAGTTTGCTTGCTTGCTGAACTAGTTCTTTTCCTTTGCTCCTTTTCTGTCTGAACTTTCTTGCCAACAGATTTTGCCTCTGACTTTCGAGCCTCTTTCCTTTTTACTATGTCCCTTACATCTTCAAATTTCTTCATTTTGGAGAGCATTTTTTCTCCAACAAACATAAGAGGAAGCATAGTTTCTCGCAACTCACCAGGAATAGATAAGTTGAGATACATGAAGATACGAGTGATCAAAGCTCCATATGGCAGATGACCCTTATCTTTCTGTAATGCTCTGTACATATGGAATATTATGAGGTGAGGGAGAGAGAAGGATTGACCTGTCAAGATAGCCCAAATGAGCTTGATCTCTGATTTCGATAGGTCAGTTTTTTAGGCATCCTTTGGCTTCAAACAGTTTATTATGATCTTATGCAAGATCACGGATCGTCTGGATAAGTCAGAATAGGAGAGATGTCTTTTTGATCCTTGAGCAAAATTCGGATTTTCAGAAGCTAGCTGAGAAGCCTCTTCAAGACTTACTGCCAATGGAGTAAAAGTGGAGTGTGTGGCTCCAATTATCCTTGCCAACTCATGCGCCTTTAAATCAACTTTCTTGTCACCAATAGTAAACTGTAACCAGTTTGGTGACAGAATTGAAAGATTTGAATAAAAGTAGGCAGTTAATTCAGCATAAGTGTTGGCAGATTGAAGGCAAAATTCATAAACCCCTAATTTTTCAAACAGGTTCTGTACAGAAATTCCAGCCTTCTCCAAATACTCGAAATCCACAGTTCTATTGTTCATTACTCCTCTATCAAGTAACAGCCTGTAGTACATCTGATGCGCAGTGCTTCTGAATAAGCCTCCTGTTCCAGGCAAGCCAGATGCTATTCCAACTTTTATCTCAAAATTCTCAAAAAATCGTGCATCATCATCTGGAACAACAAATTTTGAAGCATTAGATGTCTTAGGGCTTACATGAACCGATTTCTTTTCAGATGGAGTTGAAGCTTCTCCAACTTTTTCTTTGCCCTTTCTGGAAGAAGTTTCTTGTGGAGTAGTGCTGGTTGGAACTTGCCCTGATTTAGTGCAGTATTTAGAATAGATTTTCACAAGGTGAGTTTCAGAGCGAAGATCGTTGTCTTTCAGACAAGCACGAAGAGCTGACTCAGAGGCATTATTCCTTTTCAGCCTTTGATAATTCCCCCACACACGTTTAATGTTTATGAACCGAAAATCAGTTTTACCAGACGATTTCGGTGGAGACGAACGCTGAGGTGTTGACGCTTCAGAAGCGTCGACATGATGATCGGATTCTGAGTCTGAAACTTCTAAAAATTCCGCCGGTGCGGTAGATTTTGAGTCTTGATTAAGAATACGAGAAGATCTTCTATGGGCCACCATCTTGACCGGCATTATGATCACCTTTGAAGACGAAAGTTTCGATCTTTTGGAAGAAAAAGAGGAGAGTCTCTGTATATCGGAAGGTTTTTGAGAGAAAAAGATCGTACTGATAGGGTTTGGAAAAGAGAAGGACGGGTTTAAAAAGGAGGTTGATAACTTTTGGAAGGAAAAAGTACTTTTAGAAATTAAAAGATATCCCTAACAAGTAGGAAGAAAATATACTCTCTAAAACTTAATCAAACATAACAATATATTAGGCAGATTTTATCAGATAAATTAGAATGCATACCTGATTTGCTTCGAATTATAAAAATATCCTGCCAAAAATGTTAATTATATACCCGCCAAAATTTGAATAAGGAACGTACCTTTCTTTGTGAGTCTGAAAAATGTTCAGACTGAAAATACTTGAGTCTGAACAATTTCCTGTC